GGAACTGGGTGGAGGGGAGCTATGGGGGGAAAAAAGAGGAACAACTGTAATCTGAACAATAAAGATTTAATTTAATTTAAAAAAAAAAGATTAAACTGTCACATATTTGTAAAGCTCTTGCATTTTTCCTAAAAAATGTAATGCAGGTGCGAACCGGGATAACTATTTTTCCACCAACAGTTCAGAGGAGTGTAATGTGTTTGGAATGATGGCAGCTTCTACAAAAGCTGACGTCGGAGAGATGCTGGGCCTAAGCTCTGGCTGGAAGGAATCAAGAGGAAAGAATGTCTCAGTGGTTCTGCTGGCGGGGGCAGGAGGGGCTCGAGGAGGAGGCAGAACACTGATCTTTTCTGGAAGTGATGTTGGAAGTCAGTGTGGATTGAGAAATACACATGGCCATACATGGTGTGAGGCTGCTCCAAACAGCTGGGCTCACCCCTCGGCTTCATGAACTTCACACTGGAAGTTTCGACTGAAGTAAACTTCTGACCTTTCCATCAGCTCCCTTGAGTAATTCAGGGTTTTATAGACTATTTCATATTCCCATGTAGGAGATCTGAACTATGACTTCTATTACTGAAGAAGGCAGCATAGTTTATAATTACTGCTAATATTATAATGTTAGTAGTATTCCTATAATTGTTTTTAAATTATTGACTTTTAGAGAGAGAAGAAGGGAGAGGGAGAGAAACATTGGTGTGAGAGCACAACATTGGTGCTGCCTCCTGCACACCCCCTACTGGGGAATCTAGGCCACAACCCAGGCATGTGCCCTTGACCTCGAATCGAATGAACAACTTCCTGGTACATAGGACAACGCTCAACCAACTGAGCCACACTGACCAGGGCCCTGTAATGTTTTAAAGATTACAAAGACCTTTCACTTGTATTCTTGTTTTGTTTCCTGATAATCCTATGAGATAGCTATTATTCTCACTTTACAGATGAGTAAACGGATGGTTTCCTGTTGTCCTTTAGCTAATGTTTAGGTTCTTTCACATGGCCTGAGTTCCTCCCCAGTCTGACCCTTGCCTGTTCCCCAGATCCCTCTTTTACCACTTCCCCGAGACTGTTCTGTGTTCCAGCTATTCTGGATTTCTTTTGGTTCCTTAAATAGGGCAGGTTCTTTCCAGCCACAGGCCATTGCACATGCCATTTCTTCTGCCTAGCCCACCTTCCATCTCCTCGTTGGCTAGCAACCACTAATCTTTCAGGTCTTCACTTAGCATTTCTTCATGGGAGCCTTTCCTGCACATTCAGGCTACATTGGACTCCCTACTAATATCCTCTTGTACCACCCTGCTGGTCCCATTGCAGACGCATCACACTGAAAACTACCTACTTAGTATTTCTTGTTCCTGCTAGATTGTAAGCTTCACCAGCAGAGACCAAATCTGCCTTATTTAAAAAAACAATTTACTTGATTTCAGAGAGGAAGGGAGAAGGGAGGAGAGAGAGAGAGAAACATCAATAATGAGAGAGAATCACTGATCCGCTGCTTCCTGCATGCCCCACACTGGGGATCAAGACCACAAACCAGGCATATACCCTGACCGGGAGTTGAACCGTGACCTTCTGGTTCACAGGTCAATGCTCAACCACTGAGCCATGCCGGCTGGGCCAAATCTGCCTTATTTGTTAGTTTCAGTGCCTAGTACAATATCCTGTTGCTCTGAAAGCTGTTGTAACCACGGTCTGCTGTCTGGATTCCATAACCATGGAACGTGCCCTCAAGATAATGCTGAGGAGCTTTTCAGACAAGCGTCTCCTGATAAGTAAGCAAATCCTTCCATTAGTGACCAAAATGCACGCCTCCCACAGCAGACTGCGGGGTTAGAGCACAGTGCAGCTGTGTTTCATTTGATAACGACCAGAAAAGGCTGGTGTGCTCACCTCTTCTGTTGTCTCTTTGAGGCTCACATAGCAATGAGAACCTTTGTCCAGCATCCTATGTGACACAAACATAGAAAGTAACTATCCCTTCTTATAAAGCCACCTCCCAAAGACAGGCATGGTTAACCGATAAGTTTGGGGCATGTTCTTCCCGTTACATTTTTATACTCAGTTTATGCATTCAATTATTTTAATAATGAAGATAGGCTGTGGCCTCTTTGCTTATTCCCCTTTGTAACCAGCACAACACATTTCAGCTTTGCCTCATGAAGCTAAGTGTGTGGGGCTCTGTCATGAAGCTAATCCCCAAAGATGACTGAGAGCCACGGAACAGTTGGCAGATGTATTCCTTGAGAAGCATGTCTTGTGGGTCAAGTCACAGATGACAGGAACATTTAAAGCTGTCCATACTATTTCTACCTTGGTGCACACTTGGTTTGGGTCATTTACTGATGGCTGGCACATTGATTTTTTTTTTTTTTGAAGCAGTGAGGTTCAGTCATCAAATTAATGGTGCAAGTGCAGGAGTGGAAGTAACACAGTTGCTCAGGCTCGCACGGCAGGCGTTCAGCAGGTAAGTGGGGCCCAAGGGGAGGAATTGGTGGCCTCATTTCAACACCTGCAGTGAGCTGAAGTCCCTGCAGGTTGCAATCTGTGAAAAGGGGTACTTTTTTTTTTTTCCTTCGAGCCAGTTACATCTCTAATCACCAAAGTCTTTGTGAAAATCCATCACCATATAACTTCCTAAATCCAGTTAATGATGATAATAACCAAAATCTGTAGCTAAACACTCGGGCAACACCGTATATGGTTGTAAATGTTCCAAATAGCGTCTCAGTTCACATCTCTGTGAGGAAAGAACATTGAGTGGATTCATTACACGAACCACTGCAACTGAGCCGGGAGCTTAAGGCCACATTCCTCGAATGTGTGCACTCCACCAAACAGGCATTTCACATCAGGCAGCAGTGACCAGGCAGGCTGGACAACTTTCATCAACCAATGATTCTAAACAAGACATGCTTCTCAAGGAATACATCTGCCAACTGTTCCGTGGCTCTCAGTCATCTTTGGGGATTAGCTTCATGACAGAGCCCCACACACTTAGCTTCATGAGGCAAAGCTGAAATGTGTTGTGCTGGTTACAAAGGGGAATAAGCAAAGAGGCCACAGCCTATCTTCATTATTAAAATAATTGAATGCATAAACTGAGTATAAAAATGTAACGGGAAGAACATGCCCCAAACTTATCGGTTAACCATGCCTGTCTTTGGGAGGTGGCTTTATAAGGGATACTTTCTATGTTTGTGTTTTTTCTTCAAAATTTGGAAAATGAATGTGAATTACACTTGTGAACAGAAATAAAATTTAAAGTAGATTGGAGTTAGTGATAGTGTTCTCGGATGAGTAGCAAATTACAATGAGGTTGGTAGAGAAAACATGTAACAATTTTCTATTATACACAAAAAAATACACTTGAACAGGGTGGTCCAATAGAACTTCAGTGATGGATATGACCTGTATCTGTGCTGCCCAATATACCATAGTAGCCACTGGCCATATGTGGCTCCCGAGTATTTGAAATGTAGCTAATGCAACTAAGGAACTTGTTAAAGTTTAATTTAAACTTAAATAGCTGCATATGGCTATAATATATATACTGTATTTGGACACACAGGTCTAAAACCTTTCATTTGCTGGGAATAAGAAACAAGAGTGCCAACAGGGGCAGGGAGAGAAGACCAGATTTGGAAGCCAAGAGATTTACATGAATTATATACTACTTTGTTGTCTATCCAGTGGAGATGGTCTATGTACTCTGTTACTCTTTTAGGAATGAAGTGAAAGGAGACACTTCTTTTTTAAAAAAAAATATATACTTATTTATTGATTTAAGAGAGGAAGGGAGAGGGAGGAAGAGATAGACACATCAATGATGAGAGAGAATCATTGATTGGCTGCCTTCTGCACGGCCCCTACTGGGGATCAAGCCCGCAACCCGGGCATGTGCCCTTGGCCAGAATCGAACCTGGGACCTTTCAGTCCGCAGGCCGACACTCTATCCACTGAGCCAAACCGGCTAGGGCAGGAGACACTTCTTTACACTTATAAAGGCAACAGCATTAACTTCATCTTCAACACCCCTTTACATCTTCCTAACATTCAAGTGCTCCATTGATAAAAGAGGGAACTGACCTATTAGAAAAGCAATAATCTCATTCATCTAAAAATTTTTAAATGTTTTATACTTTTTATAAACTGTTTCTCTCCTCTCCATTATCTTGTATTCAATGTTCTTGTTTTGAGACTTCTCCCATCAAACCATCAGCCGTTCAGTATCTGGTTTTCTTCTCCTTAACTTTTTTAGAATATCCATAATATTAGTATATATAATACAAGTCCCCAAATACTTAGACTGGGTTGAAATTGCAGTGTAATGCAATATACCTACACAATTTGTCAAATTGATAATAAAGGTTAAGGTTGGGCTTGGGGTTGGGGAGAAGGCGGATGTCTCAAGAGGACCAACTTGGTGTGGTCGGCTAAACCATAGCAAGATTTATGATTTTTTTCTTCCCAGTTGTCATCTTAACTGGTATATAGTATGTCTGCTGTCAGCTGCTGGCAACTTTCTCAAGAAAGCCCAGATTATGGTAGTAAGCTATGTTCTTTCCCTGTTGCTAATTTCACCCCAGTGTTGGAACCAGAAGTCCAATAATGAAAGCTACAGCTGACAGATACCAGCAATAGAATCACAGGAGCAATCAGAGCTTTACAAACGTCAGTAACAACCGAACTGACTTTCCTTCCTACACTACCATCAATCAAGTTTGCCATCAAACGTTCAGGTAGGACCACCAAGCCTTTGATTTGGTTTCCCAGGGAAAGCCGTTGTTTGGCTCAGTGTTTTATTAACATTAGGTTCTCCTGTCTTTTACTCTTGCATTTGAACCCAAACACCTTGACCACTTTGCATGTATCAGGGTTGGTACAAGAAGGCATAGTCCATCTTGGTTGGGTATTTTGCACTGTTCAAAAGATAGTTTTATAAAAAACAAAACTAAAACAACTCTGAGGTCCTAAAACTAATATATAAGTGAGAGGAGATTGAATTCTCATCAGGTGTTGTTATTCAGTCAAAAATAATGCTGTCTCTAAGTATAGATACAGCGGGATAAATATATTACCAGGTGCTTCTTTTTATGATTTGCTGAGAAGAAAAATCACTAACCCTACAAATGTGGTTCCAACTCTTTCCCATAACATTCTAGGACCTTTTTGGGTAATAGAATAAAAAGGATTTATTTAAAGCTGTAGAACTCCTCTTATAACCCCCAAATTGCATACTACAGAAAGATACATTCTTTTTTTATTAATATTTTTTTTTATTGATTTCAGAGAGGGAGAGTGAGAGGGAGAGTGAGAGAGAGAGAGAGAGAGAGAGAAGAGGAGAGAGAAACATCAATGATGAGAATCATTGATAGGCTGCCTCCTGCACACTCCCTATTGGGGATTAAGCTTGCAACCCAGGCATGTGCCCTTGACCAGAATTGAACCCTGGACACTTCAGTCCACAGGCTGACACTCTATCCACTGAGCAAAACCGGCTAGGGCAGAAAGATACATTCTTTACAAATAATTTCAAGAGGTTCCTTACTCCCTGAAACGCATACTTAGAACTTGCAAGTTAAGTATTCACCCACTGCCTTAGCTGGTTTGGCCCAGTGGATAGAGTGTTCGCCTGCAGACTGAAGGGTCCAGGGTTCGACTCTGGTCAAGGGCACATGTCTGGGTTGCAGGCTCAATCCCCAGTAGGGGGCGTGCAGGAGGCAGCTGATCAATGATTCTCATCATTGATGTTTCTCTCTCTCTCCCTCTCCCTTCCTCTCTGAAATCAATAAAAATATATTTTAAAAAAATTCACTCACCATTGCCTACTGTTCCCAAAAGGCTTTATTGCTTCACAGGATGGTGGGCACATGGTCCTATATACAGATTTTGTAAATTAGTAACCCACACATGTAACCTGTATGTTCATGTAGACCAGTGGTTCTCAACCTTCCTAATGCCGAAACCCTTTAATACAGTTCCTCATGTTGTGGTGACCCCCAATTTCATTGTTACAAATTGAACATAATTAAAGCATAGTGATTAATCACAAAAACAATATGTAATTATATATGTTTTCTGGGGTTGTTCGACTCCCAAAGGGGTCGCAACCCACAGGTTCAGAACCGCTGATATAGACGAAGGTCACCCCAATTAAATTTTTAAAATCTGTAATAATAAAAGCATAATATGCTGATTAGACTGGATGTCCTTTGGATGAAGCTGGGACTGCGAGGGAAGCCAGGGTCCTGGGTGCCACAGGGAAGCTGGTGCCGGCAGCTGGGGGAAGGAAGGCCTACTCTCGCACGAATTTCGTGCATCAGGCCTCTAGTAAATAAATAAAATTCTCCACACGGAGGATCAACACATTCGTCTTTCCAATGTTCTGATTTCCACTAAAGTGTAAACCAAGAAATATTAGGGAAAAGGAAAATCATTAAATATCTTAAAGCTATTGTCTGGGTAGAGTCTGACTATATGATCTTCTGTGGAAGCATGACAACTAGCTGGAAGAACACAGGTTTTGGATACTGTCAAGCTTGGGTTAACCACTGGTTCTGAATGTTATGTGCAAAATAACTACTTTGCCTAATTTTTCTAAGCCTGCTTTTTTATCTGTGAAATGAGTATATTACCTATGATAGGGAGCTATTTGGAAGACTAATAATAAATTAAAATACCTGACACAAAAAAGGTTAGATCAAGACCTTTAAAAATCAGGACTCTGGTGTCCAAATCAGTCAAAATATTAGTAGAAAAGAGAGAACACACTCAAACTGGATAACTTGAGGAGGGTTTAATAAAGGGACTATTTACAAAGACATGGGCAGCGTTCAGGGAAACCAACAAGGAATGATGGAATAATCCAGAGCTGGTTAAGGAGTTGTCCTTTATGTCCCTGGGTTTGAAGGGGCAGAGAGGAGGAGCTAGAAGCTAGAGAGGGCTGCGTAATAGGGTAACGGTCTTTGGTAGAGGGACTTAGACAGCCCATGTGACCTGGCAATGGGGAAGCCAGAATAGATTTCCTGACCATCCTTTTCTCAGGCCTTTTGATCATCTGAGGGTTTACTAATTGCATCAACACAACCTGAGTGAGAGGGCAAAGGGGCTTGTTAATGCCATACACATGGGTCAACAACTCACGGCTGAAGGGCAAATGGAAGACGTCCAGCACAACCTCTCCCCCAACACAATTCAAACTGAACTGTTACACTGTACAAAGCTTACATGTATGCTGAGACAAAAATGTTTTCTTTCCAGAATTCTTTTTATTTTTTTTTTAGGGGAGAAAGAAAAGAGAAGGGAGAAAGAGTGGGGAGAGAGGGTGGTGGGGAGGAGAGAGACTTTCCAGAATTTCTGATGTAAAATTGAGTTATTTTATTAAAGCGGAATTCTTCTCAGTCTTTTGTGAACCTGTTTTGCAGCTTCCTTAAGCACATGCCTAGAGTCCACAGAACAGCCCTGAGCTTGGCTCCTGTATAAGGAAGCCTTAATAAAGATCTCAACTCATGAATGCTGACTCTAATGAGCTCTAAGAGATTTTTGAGAATTCAGAACTAATTAAGAAGGAATCTTAGGATTTTTCTGTTTAGGTACTATTCATTAGGAATTCAGGAACTAGATTTTCTTAGACTCAAAAAAATCCAATGGTAGTGAAACTTACAATCCTACTGAATGATAGGAAACTTTTTAGTTTCTAATCAAATAGATAAAATAAATAAATCATGACATCCGTTTCACATTGACATTTTTATTAACGCCAACTGTTTTTTAATTATTATTTTTTTAAAACAATAGCACAAAAATGTTTCAAGGAAGCAGTCTCACAATCTGATGACCTTCTGAAATACAGTTAAGCCACACCAAATATGAATTTCTGTTAATAACACAAAAATATTTTTAAAGAAAAAATAAAAGGAAAAGAGGGGGAAAAAGAAAAGAAAAATTGTAGGGACAGAGACAGGAATGAGATGTAGAGTTAAAACGCACTGGATTAGATAGGTGAGGCTTGTCAGTAGGGTGCACTGTTGAAGCAGAGAGTGGCACACCACAGGCGTATAGTCTTTGTTGCTGCTTTTAACCAGTTACCACTAATAAATAGGCCTGCAGCAGTGACCATTGGCTTCTTACATGCCCCCAATGAACCCGGAGAAGCCAGTGCGGATACTGTCAATAAGAGGTCTGATAGTTGGCCTACAAGACAACTAAGACCATTTTTAGCAGAATAACTCCTTCAGAAAGGCCTGGCTGAAAACCTTTTCATTTCTATAGTCTCACCTATATGCCTTTCAGGGTTCTTAAAAGTAATCTTAAAAAAGAAAGAAAAAATAATGTATATCAGTTTCTCTTATTTAATGTGGCTATAAAAGATGTTTCCTTATTATTTCGTTATCTCTAAGAAGGACACCGGGGGTGGGTGCTGGGGGTGGAACTAAGGGGAGGAAAAACCCAGACCAGGATAAGTGTTTTTTTTTTAACCTTCTTTTTCTTCTTCTTTTTTTCTTTTTTTGCCAAGGGGTCACACAGAAGGGAAGGCAAGGAGGAAAACTACAATCCTTGGATTGGATTGAGTTATGCAGGAAAATATGTCTCCTGATCAGTCCCCATGCCAAAAAAACCCCCCCAAAACCCCCAAAAACCCACTTGGAATTATGCACAGACTCTATATTATACCAGCTATCAGTCTTTCATGTTTAACCATTCCGCAATGGACACTACCCTTGGCTTGTAGGCTGCTTGCAGAACCCACTTCACAAATATCCTCTTCGCCCAGAAGCCTCTAGTTTCCTTTTGGTAGGTTATAAAAACAGAACATCTGTCATTAACAGGAGAGTGTTAAATACTTTTAACCACTTGACAAGGCTTCAGGAAGTTTCACAGTTTCATTATGCTCTATTTTATTACTATCATATTTACAGTTTTATTTTTTATTCTTTTTTTTTTTTTTTTGCTGAATTGCTGATTTTCCTTTTTCAATAGAACTTAATTCTGGAGTGTGAGCAGGAACCAGTTAACTACATTCATTGTCCAACCCCCACTGGTTTGAAAGAAGACTCCAAATTCTTGGTATATGAATCAGCTGTTCGGTAGCTCCACCTTATCCCGGCAGCGAAGCAGCAGAACCGTAGTGGCAGCGTGCTCAGGGTTCACACTGTGGGTGGTGAGGCCTTTCGCTGAAGGAGGTACTGGTGGATGCTCTCAGCATCTCGCTTTAGCCACGCAGCATTCAGCAGGATATTTTCACAACACTGCTGGATGGTACGCTCAGCTGAAGGAGCTGGGTGACTCTCGAAGAAAGCCTGGTATAAACAACCCAGAATGTACGATTATTACTAGCAATAGTAAGGGGTCCTGAAAAAACACCTGCTCGTTTGTAAAGAAATCATAACCTTCACTCATGACAATTTATCACTGCCATCCCCAGACTAAAAGAAACAAGCAGCTTCTTGGACCTGCCTACAGGAATTCTCCCTTAAGTATTATATGCTTAAAACCTAATAAAAAGTTAATAGTATATTTTTATTGACATCAGAGAGGAAGGGAGAGGGAGAGAGAATCATTGATTGGCTGCCTCCTGCAGGATCCAGCCCGCAACCAGGCATGTGCCCTAGACAGGAATCAAACCTGGGACCCTTCAGTCCACAGGTGGACACTATCCATTGAGCCAAACCAGCTAGGGCCAACCTTTCTTTTTTTTAAAAAATATATTTTTATTTCAGAGAGGAAAGGAGAGGGAGAGATAGAAACATCAGTGAGAGAGAACCACTGATCAGCTGCCTCCTGCACACCCCTCATTGGGGATCAAGTCCACAACCCCGGCATGTGCCCCGACTGGGAATTGAACTGTGACCTCCTGATTCATAGGTCAATGCTCTGCTCAACCACTGAGCCATGCCAGCCAGGCCTTATAACCTTTCTTTAGATTTAGACTCACTGTCCAGTGGTTACTCTAGGCTTTGGAATCAGGCTTGAAACTTGATTCTAGACTTGAT